ACGAGAACACAATTGTGTGATGGTTGTTTCTCCTTTACAGTTGCCCTAAAGCTCAAAAAGTTTGAATAAGTACAGAACAGTTAGTAATGGACAGAGAAGAGAAATGGCACTTCCTCTGGGCTCTCATCTGGGGAGGTAGAAGGGTGTTTCTGGGAAGGGCCCCATGTCCAGTACATGGGGCTCAGGAGTGAGGTTACTTTTTGTTATTTTTAAAGAAAGAGAAGAAATTGGGTCCCTTAGGACAAAAAAGCCACCTCTTTGGGAGGAAATAAAGAGGTGACCAGGCTACTGCAAGTTTTTAGAACTCAATATACAATCGAATATGTTTCCTAATTTACAATGATTCAATTTAAGATTTTTTGACTTGACAATGGTACTAAAAGCAACACGCATTCTGTAGAGATTGTATTTTAAACTTTGATTTTTCCCCCCAGGCTGGCAGTGGTAGTGTATTAGTCACAAGCTCATGAGGATAAATGACCAATACCTAGAATGTAGTGTTGCTATGCTGTGGTATTTGATATCTTAAGTAGATTAAATGAATTTTTGACTCATATTTTTGACTTACAGTGAGTGAGTTTATTGGGATATAATATTTTTTTTCCTTCTGTTTTTGCAGTACTGTGATAAAACCCACAACCAACACACTGACCTACATACCATCCTGTTTTTTTCTTTTGGAAATATTCCTTGAGACAAGGTCTTTCTAAGCTGCCAAATTAGCCAGAGTGGGCTCAAATGTGTTCCCCTTGCTCAGCCTCCCAGAGTATTGGGACTACAGGCCTGGTTAGGTTTCCTGACATGTAACTTTATCATAAATCACGGTAGTGGGGCAGAATTAGCCCTAGGTTAAATATGGCGATCACTTCATGTATAGAGTATGGTTGAAGATTCAGGGTGTGCTTTGTCAGCCTAGCAGGACTCAGAAAATTACTGTCTTTTGGATTTGATTGGAAGACACCATTTTTTAAGCTGCATGATCAATATTAATAAGTCAAGAGATTTCCTTGTGTGTCTTGAGGGCCACTGTTGTAGAATACTTACATGGGTCTCTGAGTGGTACCTTCCAAGATAAGTTTCCATTTGTGGTCCCTTGTCTCCCATTGTGAAAAGAGGATGGGGATGTTACCACCCGAAACACAATGGGCAGCTTCTGTTTTCCTGTTTAAGCCTTCTCCTCCTTGTTTATTTTTTTCCTTCTTAAATTGAATGAGAATTTTTGATCTTTTTCTTCTTAGTATTTAGAACTGTAAATTTATCTCTAATCAGCCATCTACCTGGATTCCACAAATTTTGATGTGGAAATATTTGTACTATTATTCAGTTGTAACTTTTAATTTTCATCATGATTTTTCTTGTGTTTTATGGATTATTTAGCAGTCATTTATTAATTTTATTAGGTCATTCCTTATTTTCCAAATTTGGGGGATTTTTAAAAGTTGATTAATGGCAGTGTGGTCTAAGGATATGCCAAATTTGTTGAGGCTTTTTTCTCTTTCTTTGTTGGGTCTGGTAATTTTGTGGTTTTGCATCTACATCTATTTGGGGGATTACCTTAGAAGACTCAGCATTCCCTTTTAACTCAGCAATATCTAAAGTTAGACAATATCTTTATCTTTTTTAAGGCAATGTAAGGACCTTAAAATAGTAATTCCAGTAGCTTCTTTTCTTACTATAGCCTAGACTTTCTTATTCTATTTAAATATCTTCCTTTAAGTATTTTCTTTCCATCTTGTTTTCTTTTCCAATACAATACCACAGGATCAATATTGTCTAATCAGTCCATACTTGTTTAAAGGTTACCACCTTTTTAGCTATTAATTTCTAGGTTGAAGTGGTCAGGACAATAAGCCAAGGTGAAAGTAACCAGTCCTAATCACCTCCTGAGACAGCATAAGGAAGAGGAAACAGAGGAAGTCCTCTCACTGCTGAACAGCCCTGACAAAAGGCCCAGATATTTGATGGACAGGGGACTGAAGGGAGGGAGAAAGCAGCTAGAAGTAAATGGAACTGAGAGAGGAGAAAATGTCTTCCATGTAAGCTAAGGAGGCCTCCTGGAGTCATCCAGGCTAAGCACACTGCTACACAATGAGCGTGGCTGGCCCAAAGCCTGGACTGCCATCCCCTAAACTCTCCCAGAAAATCACTTATTTCCAATAACTACAAGAATATGCTTCAATAATTGCCTCTTAGCATGTTGGAGATATCCCACTATCTTCTGCTGCTATGAAGAGGTTAAGTAAAAGTCTAATTATTGGTCTTTTAAAAATAATAAATCAGTCCCACACATGCAAGCATCGAATTCTCTCCCTGATGAAGAACCTGAAAATGTAAATAAGATGCAAAAGCTACAGTAGAAACTGTGAAGGGGAAAGAAACTGCTCAAAGGGAAGGAACCACTGGGATGAGGGAAAGGAGAACAGAACGAAAGAAGGAAGGGGAAAAATGTGTATGTATATGCAAAGGATAGCTGGGATAACTATACTGCTGATTTATTCTGGCTTACTGAAAGGAACAGTTAATGCTTAATTTTCTTGACCAATGTTGCATGCTTATATCTGGTAATCTGAACAATTAATTAGAAGACAGCAATATGCAATATAACAACCATTGGTGAATTCCTATCATCTTGGTTAGTGAAGTTCTTATATTTTCTAATGTTTTATTATTATTATTTACTCTCATTAAAAAATCCATTCTTTTTTCTCACTTCAGAGATTTTCTCTTTGTTTTTTGCAGCCTGCAATTTCTCCATGTCTTTTCATTCATTCTGTCTGGAAACACTTGGTCTCTTGATTTCGTGGGTTTATGTATTTCATGATTTCCTGAATTTTTTTTATTATTTCTTCAAACAAGTCTTTGTACTATTTTTTTCTGGAATCTGATTAAATACATGCTAGGCAATGTAACTATCCTTCACATTTCTTAAACATTCATATTTAATAAATTTTGTCTTTTTGACCTTTTATGCTAAATTCTCATCAATGTCTTCACTACCACTTTCCTGTTAATGAATTCTCATTAAATTAGTCCATTAATGTTTTAAATTTTCCTTATTAGAGTTTATATTTCTATCCAATTTAAAAGTGGATCCTGTCACAAAGGCTTGCTTGTTTTTAATGATCCTTTGTGTTTTATTTTTAATTCTTTCTTTTGCTTCCTTAAGAATAATGGTCATAGTTGTATAAATTCTCAACCTAAAAATTCCACATATCAGAGATACTATAGGTTAATTATTTTGTCATTGTTGTTGATGGTTTGCCTTTGATTAGACTGTTTTTGCTCTTTTTAAAAAATTTTGACTGAGTTTATATTTTTTTGTAACTTCACCTGTAGGAATCACCTTAGGCCCTCTACTAAGCATTTATTCAGTCATGATAATTTCCTGTAAAGTCCTGAGAGATATTTTAATTCACCATTTTACTAAGATATAATCTTTTTGGGTTTCACTTCTATAGGGGTTTTCTAGTATCCTTAATGTCCAAGATTTCTCCTTCCTTCCTTCTTTCCTTCCTTCCTTCCTTCCTTTCTTTTTCAATTTTCTGATCCTAGAAAATCTGAAAAAACGGGATTTAAGATTTTCACATTCTTCAAATTTTCTCAAAGGCAAAGCTGGTTTAATGTCCTCTGTATCTTTCTTGTCACACATCCTCATCTTTTGTTTAATATCTTTTACTCTTTAACCCATTGATTCATATATTTAAGAAAGTGTTTCTCAAATGCTATCTAGCAGCTTTAGTTATTTTCAATGTAAACTTCAGCCAGAGTAGTGGTCTGCTGTCTTGTCAGAAATCAGACTTTTTGTTCTTCAATCTTTTTAATTATCTGTGACACTTAAACTTCAGTGTCAATTTACTTGGCTTGGGAGTAACCTCAGGGATTAGAAAAACACATTTCTGGGTGTGTTGGGGAGAGTGGTAGAGGCCTGATCTCGGGCACTATGTGTGGTCATTGACTTGTTCCTCTTTGGTGCTACTCCCGTGCTACTTCCCTGCACTATGAGCTAAGCAACCTTCTACAATGGTGTTTCTGCACTGGAGCTAGCCGATGGTAGACACAGTGCTCTGAAACTGGGAGTCAAATAAATTTTAAAATGTAAATGTTAGGTATTTGGTCTCAATGACCAGAAAGTTAACTAATGCTTTAGTATACAAATAAAACCAGTAATTTATCTTCTCCTAGCAATGTAATTGCACTGCATGACTATTAGACCTCGTGGTGTGGTGTCATAGCTCTTGGATGAATTCTGGCATTCCTCCATGCTTTCTTCTCTTATTGTTTCAATTTGGATTTTTATTGATGTATGGTCAAGTTGTCTGATTCTCTCCTCAACCTTGTACACTCTGCTTATGAGCTCAACAAAGCAATTTTTATCTCTAGCATTGTAGTTTTTATTTCAACATTTGAATTGGACTCTATTTCATAGGTTTCTTTCCTGAAATTTTGTTCTGTTCATGCAGGTAGTCCACATTTGCCTCTTCTATACCCTTAGTCAGTTATGTTAAACTCTTCGTCTCAGTGCTCCAACTTCTGGATTGCCTCTTAGTCTGGTTCTCTCAATTGCTTTTTTTCTTGACCATAAGGAGGTTTTCCTTTGTTAATTGTTTGTATATTTCTCCTGTGTTTTGTGAATTTTTTTTATTGAATGCTGGGGATTGTGTGAGAAAGAATAGGAGAGACTGAAGAGTGGATGATGATCAATGGTTTTGCTCCTTAGAATCTTGTGAATAATTTTTGACCTCTCTAAGCTTCAACTTTAACAAAACATAAATAAGCTCCAACTTCACAGAAATGTTTGAAACATGTAAAGTACAACATGGATTATATACCATGGATTTTTTTTCACAAATAAGGATACCTTCCTTCCTAATTTAAAAATTACATATTTTGTTAAAAATTAACATAATATAAAATAATACAGATTAGAGAGCCAAATTCCTTATCCAAATGCTTACTCAATTAAGCATTACTCCATCAATAAGTAACATAAACCACAAAACTGATTGTATTATATTTAATATTTATAAGTGAGTACATAAAAGGAGGTCTGCTAGTTACTCTTAAGTAGAAACAGTATTTTGAGAAGGTGATTTAAAGAAATATCCTTACTGTGGTCTCCACCATACATGTATTCTATGTAGTAGTAGGAATTATTCTTTATTCTAGGAGCAATTTAGAAATAATCAAGAAAGAATAAAAGAAAGCATGCCAAACATTTTTGCTTTGTAGATGAATCAGGCAAAACTGTTCTGTGCAGTGGAATTTCTTGAAGCTGTAGGATTCCTGGCTAGGAAAGATTAAAAACACCTTCTTGCTTGCTCTTTTTAGGCCCTGGGCAGCATTTCTTCCATGTCTGCAATGACGTAAGAGACAACAGCCCAAAGAGCAGAAGCAATGTTCATCTTCTCTGGTTCCATGACAGTCATGGTGTCTCCATGGGAATGATGGAAGAAGAAGTATTTATACAGGTCGTCATTATACAGACTGGCTCCTGTGGGAAGAAAAGAATTATGAGGGTTGTTTTTGACAGGCACCAGTCAGAAGTCACTGCTGCTCTTGTCCCTTCCCTCTTGTCTGCTCCTAACCTACTCATCACATTGGCAAAATAATTGTTTTCCTAAGGCTCTCTTGAAGCCAGAAATGGCCACATGACAACTTCATGCCTACAAAGATGAGTGGCAGGCTGTGGGAGAGCTCTAGAAAAGCCTTTATTTTGCTGACAAAGACTTAGGGAAATGTCCCTAATGCTTCATTAAATGTCGGTCAAAAGTTACAAGCTTCAAAGGACAAAAGGCCCCCAACACTAAAACCAATGGAAATGCCCTCAGGATTTATCCTGAGATCCTGTACCTCAGATTGTAGAACCTTTGTCAGTGCAGCCATGTGGATGAGTCACGGCCATTGCTTGGCCA